GCTGGAGCGGGTCATATATGGATAGATGGTTGTTCGTACATAATGGATAAACGATATATGGATAGATGGTTGTTTGTATGCAATGGATGAACGATATATGGATAGGTGGTTGTTCGTACATAATGGATGAACGATAAATGGATAGATAGTTGTTCGTACATAAAGGATAAACGATATATAGATAGGTGGTTGTTCGTACATAAAGGATGAACGACATATGGATAGATGGTTGTTCGTACATAATGGATGAACGATACATGGATAGATGACAGATGGTTGTTTATACACTATATCGGTTAACTATATATGAATGGTTGTTAGTACATAACGGATAAGTGATATCTTAAAGGTAGTTCTTAGATATTGGATAAATGATTGCTAGTGAACGCATATTCTCTCAGTCCAAGCATCGCTGGCGTCACGTGGTACTGTGACGTCAGGTGGCTGGCCTGATGATTGTGTGTGCGCTCAAGAAGACTACTACCAGTTATATGACACGCACATGTTTGTCATGCAACAATCTGCATGCAGCAGCGTGTGCATAACGTGTCACCTCGTGCCGTATGGCGGAAGCCCTGAATGCAGTCCCGACCGCGTATAGTGCAAACCACAATGCGATACCCTTATTTCTATACTTGAATAAGTAACAACGATTTCCTCCTCCGATTAAATGAATATATATTTATGATGAGATATAATCATATTTATAATCACTGTAGCAAGCTGTTGGCGATAAGTACAAGGGGAGTAGTTAATGTAATATTGGTCTGGAGTAAAGTTGGTTGATAAGGAGTTTCCGCACGCAGGTAGTGACTTAATTAGCATCTACGTCACATCGCTCGTTCTCATTGCAGTACTCGGCGGTGACGTGAACGAGGAGACAATATGCTACCCTTAACCCAATACAATAACCCAATACAATAACCCAATAGTTACCTACCCTTAACCGCATACAACAATCTCCACACCTTCTCACCACATCCCATCATCATCATAGTCGTCGTCGTCGTCATTATAACAATCGTCGTCACCATCATCATCGTCGTCACCATTATTGTCCTCATCATCATCGTCATGATCATCATCGTCATGATCATTATCGTCATGATCATCATCGTGGTCGTCGTCATCATAACCATCGTCATCGTCGTCAGCACGGCTATAACTGCTTCACCCAGGCGCCCCCTGTCGTCTGTCGCTCGTCATGATCAGCGCAGCAGCATGGCCGCGCATGCCACACCCGCTAGCAGTACAGCGACCCAGCCACCCCGCGCATGCGCGCACGCGTTCTTGTACTTGTATGCCTTGTAGCCGGAATTCAGCGACGTCTTCGGACCTTCTAACCGGATGTGGTTCGGCTGCGACTCGACGTCATTTCCTCGCGGTCCAACCGACATCGTCGGCGGCAGCGGTCGCGGCGCTGACTTACCAGCCGTCGGGTTGCCCGACGACACCCGGAACTCGCCGACGTCGTTCGGGGACCTCGGCTTCCCCCCGATGGGTCGCATGTTCGGGTTAGTAGAGGAGACCGTGTTGAATAGCACGGAAGAGGCGCCTGCTTCTGTCGTCGTCGTCGTCGTGGTTGAGGGCCGACGCGGGCGACGCGTGGTGCGCGGACGCGGTGTCGTCGTCGTCGTTGTCGTCGTCGTCGTCGTCGTCGTCGTCGGTTTAGACTTGCGTGGGTTGAAGTCTGCGGTGCGCGGTTGCTGCGTCTGACGCACCGGCGTCGTCATCACGTCGTACCGCACTGCGTCGCCCGCCGCAGCGTCGTACTGTCCGGTGTCCGTGTCGCCGTAGACGAGGCTCGTGAGGGGCGGCGCCGGGCCCGAGTTCCGAATGCTCACCCCGAAGCCGGCGTTCACCGCCGCGCCCGGCTGCCCTCTTCGGTTCTCCCCCTCACGGTTCCCGTCGCGAACGTAGACGGCGCCGTTCTCAAAACCCGGTCCCGTGCCGACGCGGATACTCCGCCCATCATAGACGGCCTCCTCCTCGCGTCGTCGCTGCCAGTCGTCGGCGGGCGCCGTCTGCAGACGCGGCGGTGTTTGGTAGCGATTGTAGCGCCCCCCAGCCTCGTCTTCGCCCGGCGAGAGGCGCGGGAGCTCCTCGCGTATGCGCACGGGCTGCCGGAAGAACGTGCTCGGCTGCTCGGTGGGGGCGTACTCGGCGCGCGTGTCGGCGGACGACGGTGGCGGTGCCGGCAGACGGATCGAGCCGTCGATGCATTTCTCCCAAGGTTGCCGACGCGGACAGTCGATTCTCTCGATCTCCTGCTGAAGCTTGCGGTCGACGCCTGCAGCAACAGCAACAACGCCGGGAGTAAGTAACGATGGCGGCGTCGGTTGTGTGGAGAGGATTATTCGCGATCTCTCTCTCTCTCTCTGTCTCTCTTTCTCTCTCTCTCTCTCTCTCTCTCTCTCTCTCTCTCTCTCGCTCTCTCTCTCTCTT